GTCTGAGGCTTATAAAACATACATGAATTAAAACATACATTCGATCCACAATAGTCGAATTTGAAATCACCTGAAACAACTTATTTGCAATTGTAATCTACTATGCGTTGCGTCCGAACACAAATAATTCACGTATGCACGTAAGTCCTATTTCGAATTGTGCACAAAGATAGCCTGGGCTCTAATACCAGTTGTTAGGTTCTATTAAGAACTTCAGAATCTAACGAATTAAATCCTAACGCAGCGAAATCTATAGTTAGGATTAGGACTTTATCGTTTAAAATTTTACCGACTCTGAGACACTATAGATTTCCACTATAGGAGATCATCTGAACCGCAGAGTCCGTTGGGCAGCTAGACTAGGCCTCCTCAGTTGATCACGGTTCACAGGGATGTGGTTGGTTTGTGATAGGGTCACTGGGGATCGATGCGCGTCGGCGCAGTCCGGGAGCACGCCTGTATCTGCGTCGCGTGCTGCGGGCTACCATGCACCTGCTGCATTTATCCGAGGATGTTGCGGCCGCCTGGGAGCTGGAGTGTCGCGGCATGCGAAGTTCTCGGGCCTGGTCGTCTCCTGCGTCGAGGATGCACGGGTCGCGGTCGTTTGGACGTCGCTAGTGAATCACTCGTACAGTTGTGATGTCGCGGCGTCACTGGGCACTGGCTCGGTGCGTTGCGGCTAGGAAGGGCATCGGCGGGTGGTCGCCTCGGTTGCTGCGGTTGGTTGCGGTAGTTCATGGTGGCTTCCGGCGGCTATGATAATTCGCCGGAATATTTTTTCGGTGATGATATATTCGTCTGGATCTCGAAAATATTATACCTTATGATCTTCTAATGTATGACCTTATACACATACTTCGAATAGTCTTGCTGGTGCGACTAAACGAAAGTCCCGAACTCTCAATATATGTAAAACTCGATTTTTCTGTCTTCCACAAGACCAAAAATCGATTCTCTCATACATGTATATTGGGGTGTTGGGCCTTGGAGTATTTATAGGCTACATTAGAGATTTTAAGGAAGTGTTAATATGTTTTTCTCCAAATACAGTTAGGAAATTGAATATCTTCTGATTTGGATACTATACCCAAGGAGTAAGCCGGTCCAACAAACCAGTCAAATAAGCCGAACCAGCTGCCCTGGTCGAACAGAACACGAGTAGGGTGGTCGTGGCCGAACATCACAGGAACAAGAGCCTTTAGAGTGGAAAGATAGCTTAAAGGAGACTCTGGCATTTGAAGAGTTGGACGATCCCAGACCCATGGAGGCTCTAGTCGAAGATCGACCTGCGCCACAAACGGTTGTCTGATCGACCATTTACCAGACTCGGAGCAGTCAGTAGGTCGACCTAGATTTGGTCGAGCATCAGAGCCTTCGAGGAGATCACAGAGGAATCAAATCCCCACATTTTGAGGACACTTGGCGCGACCTAATTGGTCCATATAGCATAACCGTCTCTAGCACACATCTAGTGTGTGTTGTACAACCGGGCAGCTTTGGGCAGCCACCTCAGCTCATCCGGGCAGCCTTCTACGAGTAGGTACCTCACCCCTAGATATATAGGGTTGAGCTTTACGATTTCAGCACGATTTTACCATTATACTCTTGACATTTGAGTAGAGCTAATATTGACTTAAATATTGGAGGATCTTCACCGGAGCACCCCTATGGTGTGGGAGTTTTCCGGTATTCGGGCCTTTCTCTTGTGCCTCTGTGGATGTCGTTCTACAGGCGAGGAAGACAAAAGCGAGCCGATTTCCAGTCGGTCGGAGTGTTTGACGTACCATCTTCCAACCCTTTTTCCCCTCTAGAAATTATAGTCTCTTCCAATTTAATTACCATTCTAGAAGACTCCATGTCTTCCTACCTTAGTAATATTCTAGAAGGAATTAGACTCTCCTACTTAGGAATATTCTAGAAGATAATTTAATTCCTCTTCATATTTTAATAAATAATAACATATTCCACTAGAGTAATGTTATTGATCTCTCCATTTAGCTCCAATTTATTCAATAAATTCGCCGCCTTCATAATTAATTAATTTAATTGATCGATTTGCCTCCCTATGTTTAAGATATAACGTCTATTGGTTTTTAATTACTGGCAATATAATTAATCAATTTATTTTATCTCTCAGATTCGAAATTAGTATCACTCAGTTCTTAATTATTATGTTGGAAATTAATCCGCTTGTACGGCTTAACATAATATATCTTCATGAGCTCATTTTGAGGACGTCATCAATCCAACGGACCGGAACATAGTGACCGTAAATAATTTTAACAGCACATCATATAAACATCATTATTTACCAAAGTACCGAGTATGTCATCCTTACTAAATAAGAATCACACTTGGTAAATCAAATAAATAAGACACATGCCCGTTTACTATCTTACGACTCAAGAAAACGCATCAATTTCTGAAGTCCAGATTATTTACTTGGTTAACATTCAAATAATCTTCTCCTCCATGGTCCATTTAATACTTACAAAGTACTAGTGTAGATCATTCATTAAAGATCAACTGAATCAAAATCACACTACTGTCTTTTACAAAAATGTTGTTTAATTCTGTCTAGATTGTGAATTAATTATTTATATTTTACAAGGAACTGAAAGTATGATCTTTCTGTTCGATACATCAACCATACTATCTACCATGTAAAATAAAGGAACTTATGATCGCATAAATAAATAAACTGTAAACACACATACTTGACCAAAACACAATTCTCATTCAAAATGATATTGCCTAAACTGAAAGTCGAGCTTTTACAGTATACCCTAACATCTTGGCCTCTCTTTCGCATAGTTGTTGTATAAATATTTTGCACTTTATCAATTATCTTCGGTTGTCTGTCGCGTAGTTTATGACATAATGATACCGCACTAGCTCGATTATCTTCGCTTGTCTATCACGTAATTTATCGCATAATGAGATCTCACTTGCTCAATTATCTTTGTCTGTCTATCGCATAGTTGATCGCCTAAGTAATTCACACTTGCTCAATTAATTTCCTCTGCCTGTTGCATATTTTATCGCATAATTTGTTTCACAATTGCTCAATGAACTTCGCTTGTCTGTCACATAGTTGATTGCATATGTAATTCGCACTCGCTTAGTTAACTTCATTTGTTTGTTGCATGCTTTATCGCATAATTTGTTTCGCACTTGCTCAATGAACTTCGTCTGTTTATCGCATAGTTGATCATATAAGTAATTCGCACTTTCTCAATTAACTTCACATGTCTATTACATACTTTATCGTATGATTTGTTTCGCACTTGCTCATTGATCTTCGCATGTATGTCACACAGTTAATCACTTAAGTAATTGGTACTTGCTCAGTTAACTTTTACTGTCTGTTGCATGTTGTATCACATAATTTGTTTCACACTTTACTCAATGAGCTTCACTTGCGTGTCGAATATCACATCGTTTAAATATTTCGCACTTTATAAATTATCTTCGTCTTTTTGTTTCATAGTTTATCGCATAATATTTTCGCACTTATCAATTATTATATTCCCCTGTGTTGCATAGTTTATCGCATAATATTATCGAATTTATCAATTATCATCGCTTCTCTGTCGCATAGCTTTTTGCATCAATTGTCTTTGTCTGTTTGTCGCATAACTATTTCGCAATTTATCAATTATTTTCGTCTGTCTGTCGTATAGTCTTTTGCATAAATATTCCGCACTTCATCAATTATCGTCGTCTGTCTGTCGCATAGCTTTTTGCATAATGTTTTCGCACTTTATCAATTATCTTATCATGTCTGTCGCACAGTTTTTCGCATCAATTGTCTTCGTCTGTCTGTCGCATATTTTATCGCATAATTATTTCGTTCTTCATCAATTATGTTCGCTTGTTTGTGGCATAGTTTATCGGATAACTATTTCGCACTCTATCAATTATTCAGTCTTTTGCTTAGCTTTTCAAATCAATTATCTTCGTTTGTCTGTCGCATAGTTTATCTCATAATTATTTCGCTGTATTAATTATGTTTGTCTGTTTGTCGCATAGTTATTTCGCACGTTATCAATTGTCTTCGTCTGTCTGTCGCATAGTTTATCACATAATTGTTTCACATTTTATCAATTACGTTCGTCTGTTTGTCTTTATGGCATAACTGTTTTGCACATTATCAATTATGTTCGCCTGTTTGTCGCATAATTTATCGAATAACTATTTCAAACTTTATCATATATGTCATAGAGCTGTCAAAACGACCTTCAGCCCGAGGGCCGGCCCGCCCCACACCGCCCAAGGGGCGGGTTAGACTGGGATTTTCTAGACCTGCTATTGAGCGGGCAGCGGGTCAGAGCGCAGGGCGGGGCGGGGCGGGCGTTAATTATTAAAAAAATAAAAATAAATATAAAAATATCAAATTCCTCCATGTACCTCATTTTCGTCTGTGCACCTCGACCACATTCCCTCAACTCAATTCACCTTCATCTCCTTAAATAGACCCAAATTCTCAAAGCAGTGCCAAAATCACCACAACATCCAAATTCCTAACATGTGGAGCCCTCAATTGATTCGGTACATTAATTTAGACTGAATTTTTCAAATTTTGACCAAAAATATTACTCAATATAATAAATAGTTTAGGCGCGAGACCAAATATTTTTTTGTTAATTTTTAATTAATATTCAAATAAATATTATTGTCTCCTTATAATTAATAAATTAAAAAGTATATCCCAAGCACGCCGAGCTGAGCCGCGTTTGTGTGCGCGTGTTTTTCAATAGTCGGCATAAATAATGTTACATATCAGAGACAGTGACACCGCCTCTCTCTCTCTCTCCTCTCCGTTTTTCTTATCTACTTTTCATTTTTTCAAAAAAAGAAAAAGCTCACCTTCCTTCCACCTCCTTTTTTCTTTCCATTTCTACAATTTATTCCAACCCACGCCTACGCTTTCCTCTTTCTGATTTCCGATTCCCGGACAAGGCAAAACCCTCTAATTCCTGTTTATTCATCTCGATTTCATGGCCGACGACTGCAAGAATCAAGCCATGGAAAAACCGGATAACGCCAAGATCGCCCCGTCGTCCTTCTTCAAGCGTTCGGTGGCCGGCGATGTTCCCGGAAACGCCTTGTACAGCCTCTACCGCACGGCGTCTCTGCAGCGGACCGGGTCGATCTATAGCTCCCCCTTGGGCTCCATGGTCTCCGCCGGCCACTCCTTGAGGGGCAAGGTCAAGAAATTGTGCTCGCTTTTCGAATCCCCTAAAATTAGGGTAACCCGACCCGATTCGCCGGAGCCCGACCCGCCGTTCCGGCTTCCAGGCACCGAGGACAGAGTTGTAATTTACTTCACGAGCCTGCGCGGCATCCGGAAAACCTTCCAGGAGTGCCACAGCACGCGGATGATCTTCCGTGGGCTTGGGGTGAACGTCGACGAGAGGGACATCTCCATGGACGCCGCCTACAGAAAGGAGTTGCAGAGGGTTTTGGGCGAGAATAACATCAGCTTGCCTCAGGTTTTCATAAAGGGCAAATACGTCGGGGGAGCTGAGGTGGTCCGGCAGCTGGTGGAGATGGGAGAGCTGGGAAGGCTGATCAAGGGCTTACCCCTGCGAAAGGTGGACCCCTGTGAAGGGTGTGGAGATGTGAGGTTTGTGCCGTGCGCCAGCTGTAATGGCAGCCGGAAGGTGTTTGAGCATGAAGAGGATGGGCCCACTAGGTGCCTTCACTGCAATGAGAACGGACTTATACGCTGCCCTCGCTGCTGCTAGCTTTTCATGAAGACTAAAATGTGAGTGGAATTTTATATATTGAAGTTTTTAACATGTGTATGGTTTCAATTCAATGGGGGAGGTGATGGTTAGGAAGTATATGTATATATAATATGACATGTTGTGCTGTGGGATTTTTATTCTTCTTTATTGGTGAATAATTTGGATTATTCACCTTTCTGTTGGGTGCACTTGCACTTGCTGGGGTTGTAAAACCTTTTTGCTGGCGTATAACTTATAAGCCATTTATGCCTAGGTGCGCGCAGATGGCTGGATGTAATGTAATGTAATGTGCTGCGACGATTTTGCAGTCCAGTTATGAAGTTGGTGATTGACTATATACATATATATTATTGTGTTGATCAATAATGTCCATGACTTGACAAAAAACCTCATGTTTTTTAGGGAGAATGCATTATACAATATCATAATTTTGGGTGCAAAATGATTTTTTTCGGCTATATTCGTTGCGGGAAGTAGTTATGTGATGCTGTTTTTTGGGTAAATTTTTTTAGGTTTCTTTTGGTTTTGAGGAGAGGATTTCTTTCACTACAAATTGGGAAGGGAAGATTTTGAGATCCTCCTATATAACTCCAAAAATAGCTTGTAAGGATACTGAATCCGTTCTATACCCTAACTATCCCAACAACAACAACAACAACATACTCAGTATATTCCCAACAGGTTGGGGCCTAACTATCCCAATGGATTAATTTTATTTTATTGTCAACATCTTCAAATATTAAACTTAAGTTATGGGAGACAGGAGTTTGAAGCGTCTTTGGTGATCAAGTGCCCAGTATTTTTTTTCCTCTTTTTTCTATGTGCTTATTTATATTTCGTACATACATTTGCAGTGATAGTTGATGCTGTTAAATTAAACAAGCTCGAGCTCATTTAAAGCTCGTTTGGCGAGCTCGGCTCGATAAGGCTCGTTAAGACTCGAAAAGAGAATTTTTGAATAATTTTTTATAGTTCGGCTCGTTAAAGCTCGAGATCAGCTCGTTAAGGCTCGAGCTCGATTTTTGGCTCGTTTACAGGCGTAGTGATAGTGTGTATCAATTATCGATCATCATCGAGGGACACTACATTAACATAAATCTTGATCTGAAACTGCTTTGCTTGACAATGGTGTGAGAGCAGTGATTGAGTAAAATTGGAAATTGGAAATTGCATATGTATTTTACTTGAATAGATACGACAGGTCTACATTTCGAATAAGCATGCTCTGTAAAATATTTCAAAGATTGAAGTCGTAAATGCGAATAATTTTCTGTCATAGACTACATTATAAAATAGGCAGCTGTTGGTTTATGAGAACAAAATGACACGTTTTTGTATTATTGTTGATTTTGCTTTTAATCTTGTCTGCTTTGGAGATGATTTAAGGCTACAGATCCTTTTGAATTTTACGGTGACTTATTTGTTGCGAGTGATTAAAGAATAATTATGGAGTGAGCTCTGACTTGTGTTCATGTTGTTCGAGTAGAATGACGGGCGTTCCAATTCGATTAGATCTTTTTTTACTTGTGAAGACAATATACTGAAAATAATATTATTTTGAGACACTGTTTTATCTTATATCTTTGCATGTGAAAAGTATTATAGGTTATTTATATGCATATAATATTAAAATTATAAGTTAGATAATGATATTATATTTTAAACATAATGTATTACTAAATTATATTTATGACTATAATATTAAAATTATAAGTTAGATAATGTTGTATATAAAATTTGATTATTGGTTAAAATATAAATAGTACATAACGATTTGATTGCATATGAATCATTATATTGATTTCATAGAATGTAATAAATAATGTAAATTTTGTAATTTTGAGGGATCATGACTAATTAATTAACTGAAAAATATTAAATTTATTATAACAATTGCTTATTCGAACTTAAGAAATTTTACTATGACATTAAAACAAATTAATTTATTTTAAAAACAAACACTTAATCATATAAAAATATAATATTGATTTTATAATAAATAACTTGAACAAACAGTTTTTACAAAATAATTTTTTGTGTTTATGTATTTTTCATTTATCATTTAGTGTAAAATATAATTATTAATTTTAATAATAACTATTAAATGTTACAATTAAAAAATATAATTATTACTTAATTAATATAAAATATAACGATTTTTGTCTTAATTAACTTAAAAAAGTGCAAGGAAATATTTTATCATTAATAAGATAAGGTGAATTAATGGAAAAAAAATAATATTATAGATTCAGTAACTGAAATTATAGTTGCTTAAGGGTCATTTTCTGTTACTAATATATAACATAAACAAATAAATTATATTTCAAAATTGGTTAGAGAAAACAAGGTGGCTAATGCTCGGTAACGAAAAACAGTTCATTACTGTTTGCAATGATTTTTGTAACAAACAAATTTGTTTCTAATATTAGAGTAATAGCAACCAAATATGTAACTGATATATTTGTTTCTAATATTTACTACCATCAACCGAGTCAGAAATGAAAATGTCCATTACTAATTTATTTCATTAGTTAGATTTTTGTAATGGATCATTTTATAAAAAAATTTCCGTTACTCATGTTATAAATTTTATACCAAAATTGTAATAAAATATTATTTTATTATTATTTTTATTATCATCAACAAATTCAAAATTCAGTATGTTGAATTTATATTTTAATGGTTGCAACTTTGAATACATTACATTTTACATATATAACTATTTACAAAATAAAAGGAGATAACACAATAGCAAAATAAATAGTGATATTTATTATTGAACTTAATTACATATGTATATCAACTTTCCATCACATAAAAAACAACAATGAAACATTTCCATCACATAATAAACAACCAAACATCAGTGTCATACGTGTATCCTTTTTTTTCGAACAGTCTATATTTTTAACATTTGACTATCCAATATCCACATACAAGATTTTTCATATTCTTGGCATTAGATATGAATCCTTCGTAAATTGGTGGACAGTTCAGATCAAGCCACAATCTATCGTACTTCTCAATCTTTCTATACAACTATTCTCCCTGTGAATAAATAGAAAAAAAAAAAGATAGATTACAATTATGAATATATTAATTGTACATATACTATATTATACATGTAATTATAAAGACCTAAGAATATAATCATATCGGTACCTATAAACCTTATGTTGGTAGTAAGTTCAAGTCCAATACGCCTGATTGAATGCGTGCATCTCTATCAGCCAACATTTCAAGGTCAAAAGAACTCTTCCCTTCGTACGACGGCTAAAAGTTCAAATCTAGTGACTCCTTCCATCCAATAGTTTGTGTGGCACGACAACATTTTCTTCCATGCATCTTTTGAATTCTGCTTCTTGCAAATGAAATAATATGAAATGAGTTTAAAACAATTCTACATATCAAGAGAAAAAAAAAAAACAATTGTTGAATAATGGATAGCAATTCTTACTTTTTTCTAACCATCTATTGGAAATGGGAAGAAAACATGGGCAATAGTAAGAGTGGTTTATATATGAATTATGAATAGATATAAATAATTAAGAATAGTTATTATCTCGTGATCGGTATATGAGTGTAATATGTTTTTTTTATGNGAAAGATAGAGTAAGAGAAAATATTCAACACAATGTTGATTAACTTTGAATTATCAATTTAAAACTAATCACTACAAACGATAGTGACAACAAAATAAGACATAACAAAACTATATCAATAAAAAGGCGACAATGATGATCATGATTTCAAACAATGGTAAAGACAACATTAATTAAGAAATGAAAGATAAAAGAAGATTTCACTAACAATCAACCATCACTAAAAACTAAAATACTGAAATCTTACCACATTACGTACCAGTACATCTCAATGATGCGGCAGATCTGTTTGCTTATTAAGAAAATCGAGTATTACATCAAAACATATATAATTTGAAACAGTCAGACAAACTTCAAGGACACTTATGAAAAGAGGCAACTTCGTGCATCATTTGTACCTCATGCTGCTGACAGGCATTACAAAGAGAACCATATTACAGTGCCAAAACTATGTTTACTTGCAACTCAATAAGTACGCGTCCCATCCTTGAAGCCGATATTCTCTAGCTGCATCGGCAGGATTTGCTGCTTTAATAATTCCACGCCCAACAATAATGATGTCACTGCCTCTCTCCCAAATGACCTGAAATGCATACATTTCTCTTTTACCATATTAAAGACATTTTTGAGGAGATGAATCGAACTTTTGAGGAGATCATTACTCGGGACAATTTAGAAGCACAAAATATATCAAGGAGAAAAATATTAAACATGTAACATTTTTTTATGCTAGTTATAATTGGAAATTATCAACATAATTTTGTCCATTTTTATTTACAACTGCACTAAAGAGTTGAAAGATAGTGCAGCATTCATAATATGTGCCTCCTTAATGGTAAGTAAGATTAGACGAAACTGTAATATTAATTAAAATGGGAAATAATGTTGAAGTATCCCATACACAATGGGCCGAGCATCCAACTGCTGTTAGGAGCATAAGGATGAAATAGGGAACTTTTGGAAATCCATGTGTATACTGATTTTTCAAGATATGAAATACCTTTTCAGCTAAAAGTAGGGAAGCGTGGGAGGATCCTATTAATCTAGAACTATAATTTTTGAAGCGTAGTGAAATCATTCAGATAGAGCCAATGAAATTGAAACCTAACAAATTATTAGCTACAGAAACAAAGTAACAGAATAGATCATGAAGACTGCCAGGTGCTATTATACTGTAATCACCACAGATAAGTTGGTTTGCATAAAGAATCACAGGGAAGCTACAAGATGTTGTCATCATATGTTATGAAATGATGTTGGGCCTATGAGATCTTTAATAATAGGTTGAAAAATATGTCCAACAAAGATTTTTGAAATTTTTTATCAGGAATATGTAACATAATGCACCATATTCAACCCACAGCCCCTACTGAAACAACACAATATAAAGAGGTACAGAAATAGGACTTCTACTTATATAGAAACATAATCTTTAATGAGAACTTCAGAGACTAGCAAGCTTATACGCAAAATGCAAAACATGTAACCTAAAATAAATTAAGTGCTCAATGAGTTCCAACTAAGGCTTCATCTTGACATCATCAAATATCTTCCGAAATCAAGGCATGAGCTACAGAAGCAGGCCTTAACCCTTTTCTTCTCATAAAACATCGTATCAAAACTTCAACATAATATGCAAGTTGTATGATTTACTAGACTACATCGTTGGTAAACTTGAATGCAAGTGATGTAGTGAACCAATATCATCCACAAGCACTTAAACTCTTACAATTTATAAATAAACCAGATCACATTCTATTCATAAGTATGCTTATTTATTTTTTCCCATGTATTTTACTTAGTTACAAATGGAGGAGATGTTGTACAGACCTTTTATGCAGACAATGACCAGAAAAGAGAAGCATGTCATAAAGCTAAGGCTACTTACAGAATGTGGAGTGTTGTATTGTTGGCCCAGAGCATCTCCACCTTTAACCATCTGCACACCAGGAGTTGCATGAATCAGGGATGGATTTCCTGGTCCACTAGACCATGAAGCTGGATTGACAGATATAAAGCCAATAACAAAATCAGGATGATCTTCAGCTATTTTCACTGCTGCAGCAGTGTAATCACCCTTGGCAAGGTTACCAGAGGAACTCATTTCAGCAAGCAGCAACAGGCCTCGGCCTCGAGACAAGCCCTATCGCATCACAAAACCGATTAATTAAGAATCTAAGGGGCAAACCCGAAGCAGGAAAGTAGCAGATCAGCACCTTCAGTTTTAGGCCATCAACAATTCCTGGTCCTGAAATTATATGTGCATTTATAATATCTGCCCAATCCAATATGCGGAAAATACCCCTGCATAAACCAGAAGAAAAAACTCAAGGAAAGCATAAGTCGGTGTTTAATCAATTCAAAGGAAGAACAAGCTCTTACCCTTCATACTGCATAGTGACTGTATTCCCAATATCAGCAAACTTCCTATCTTCAAATATCAAGAAGTTATGTTTCTCTGCAATCTTCAGAAAGTTGAGCATGATCAATTGTAGCTGAAGTTTACTCCATACCAACAGAAAAACTCGAGCAACAAAGAAAAGCACATTCATATCACTAGGACGTAGACGTGATTTTTGCAAGTCGCAGCACAAGATCTTTTCCATTTTCAAAAAGTTCACACTAGTTGAGGCAGTTTGTATTGCGATCAATGTTTCCGGAGTTTTACGAAAATGCACGTCATGAATTCTTCATGTATCCATCTTTACAGGTAAATAAGACTTATTAATTCTGTTGGGGTGAATAAATCTATGTCCATGAGAAAAACTAAACTTTTAATATAATAGACCTCCTAACAATAAACTGAATTCACTACATCGCTTTTGGGGAATGAACAATATTTGGTCAACAGGGACATACCGAACGAAGTTTAGATCCAAAATCATGAGTGAAATCAGGCAAGATATCCACATGAGTTTTTAACATGCAGATCTCAGGTCCAACCTGCAGAAAACAAAGGTGGGACGAGATCATTGACAGGAAAACAAATGCCAACAAAATAACTTGGTCATATCCATCATAAAATATTATGAAATAAATAGCACTGTCAGGCAAAAAGTACAATAGCACCAATGGAGAACTAATTTGCCAAAACAAAAGTGTTGAGATATGATGTTCCAAATTTATCAGCCTCAAGACAACTTATACATTATAATTGCAATAATATTTCCGACTTCCACTGCATTCAACAACAATAAATTATTTTCCTATAATTATTAAAAATGGCTGCCCATAGTATAGGAAATAGAGATTCGCAGATGCCAAGAATTTGGTCCATGCATTCAGACATTAAATGCAGAGGATCTGANAAATTTCACATGACAGACAAAATGACAGAAGGAACGGATGTAACTTAAAATCATTGAAAAGAACAAATATTTGGATGGCTTGATAGACTGGGACTGATAACTTATCAGTGTTTATAAATTCCAACAATAGGCAGTCAGAGTTTACTACGTCAGCACATGCATTTATGAATTTTATGTCAATCAGATGATATGTAAACATATAGCTTCCAGAAAGGGGGCAGGGGAGAATCAGAATATTGATTTTTTGATTACTCACCCTATCTGCAATATCAAGCAACTCCGCAGCAGTAGAAACATCAGCAGCCAGGCACAAGTTTGATTCTTTCTGCACCATTATCTCAAACAACTTTTTACCAGTTGGATTTTTTGCCATCTTCATCCTCTCTCCAAATGGAAGTCTAACTCCAATTTTCTTCTCAGATACTGGTGCCAAGGGAACTGACACCTTTCGATTCTCCTCCAAGAACTTCATAACCATCTTCTCTGTCTCCTCTGATACTCTCCCCTTCTCCTTCAATATCCTCACCATGTCACTCAACTTCACCATTGCGTGAAGTGTGATGCCGTTCTCTGCCAAATTTTCCCTCCCTCCTTGTTCCCTTTACCAAATGGTGAGCGAGAGAACAATAAATCGTAAGAAAAACACATAACAAGAAGCTTCAGGATGCACACAGAGATGACATTGATAATTTGTAAGAATCGTTAAGCCAATCTACGCAGGAAGGTGGAAAACTAAATATTACAATGAAGAGAGTTAAACATCTACAGGCAAACAAACAGCGCACTCGTAGATCTCTAGAATCAGCAATTCTTTGATTTCGATGATAAGTTCCAATGGAATATGTAACACAGAGGATGGTCATGCATAAATAATAATAATAATAATAATTGAAGAAATCAGATAGACGAAAGCACGCTGTTGAACACTCAACGCTGACTCTGAAACATTAGTTAACATTTATATCTGAATCATCATTTTCCCTCTAGAAGTTAGAAGGATAAATGCATATTTATACGATGCCCAATCAGTACCTGTCAATCATAACAACGGCGTCCGTGACCTTCAGCCCGGCCTCACGAAGCGGCGCCGCCGTCTCAAGAACAGACGTGCCGCTGGTAACGAGATCCTCGACAATGAGACAAACTTGATTCTGATCGAAGGCCCCCTCAATAGCCTTGGCTGTCCCGTAGTCCTTGACCTCCTTGCGGCGCATGACCATGGGAATGTTGGAAGAGAGGGAAATGCAGGTGGCTATGGGGAGGGCGGTGTAGGGAACGCCACAGACGACGTCGTAACGGGTGGAGGAATGAAGGGTGGCAACGAGGGTCTGGGAGATTTGGCGGAGCAGGGCGGGGTAGGAGACGATGAGGCGGAGGTCGATGTAGATAGGGGAGTAGATGCCGGATTTCAGCTTGAAGTTGCCGAATTTGACGGCGGCGATGTCGTGAAGCTGGAGGATTAGGGACTCCATTGATGGCGGTGGAGATGACATTGGAAGCGAAGAAGGGTTTTAGCGTAGATGGTGAGTTGCGACTTATTGCGAGTGTGTGGTCTTGTGTAGCAGAGTAAATGCAAAATATGAAGGGAATTGAGCAAATGGCTATTTACCTTCGTTCTAAAGATGAACCAAGTTTTTCACATTATAATAGTAATAAATTAATTTTTTCATTGACAATGTGTGAAATCAATTATATAACAAACAATGCAATAGATAGATGAAGATAATCGATAAAGTGACGATACATTACACGAGAGACAGATGAAGATAATCGATAAAGTGCGAAATAAATCATGCTAATAAACTACAAGACTGATAGGCAAAAATAATCTATAAAGTGTGAAAAATCATGCGAAACAATATACGACAGACGAAAGTAATTGATAAAATGCCAAATATTTATGTTATAACTATGTGAAAAAGAGAAGAAAATAATTGATAAAATGAGAAATATTTATGCAACAACTATTAAGAAGATAATTGAAAAAATGTGAAATATTTATGCGCTAAACTACGTGACAGACATGTCAAGATAATCGATAAAGTGCGAATTAATTATGTGGTACGATATGCGACAGACAAGTGAAGATAATTGGTAAAGTGCCAAACAAACAAATTATCCGATAAACAATGCGATAGACAAGGCAGAGATAATTAATAAAATGCGAAACATTTATGCGATCAATTATGCGACAGACATGCGAAGATAATTGATAAAGTGCGAAATAAATTATGCGATAAACTATGCGACAGACACAAGATAATTGAGCAAGTGCGTATTACTTATGCGATAAACTATGCGACAGACAAATGAAGATAATTGATAAAGTGCAAAATATTTATGTCATAACAGGCAAAAATAATTGAGCAAGTGACAATCGAAGATAATTGAGCAACTGTGAATTACTTATGCGATAAATTATACGACAGACATTCGAAGATAATTGATAAAGTGCGAAATATTTATGCGATGAAATATTCGACGGACAAACGAAGATAATTGAGAAGTGCGAATTACTTATGCGATACACTATGCGACAGACAACGACGGATCCAAAAACTTTTATGAGCCAGGACAAAAAATAGTTCAAAGAAATTTTTAACCATATTGCACAAAATACATATATTAACAATAAAATAAATCGTTGGAACAATTGGGTGTTGAGGGGTTCCCTATTCAATTTACCTTTGACTTGATGCTAACAAATAAATTGAGAATGAGGTCTAGTTATTTTATTTTGGTTATTTTCTTTTGCGTTTTTATTAATACTAAGAAATATACCAAAAATATTTTACAATTATTTTTCCTTTATTTTTTGTGTAATAGGAAATAAACAAGTCATTTTGAAATATAATTTATTAACTTAAAAAAGCCTAAATGTCATTATTTTTGTTCATGTTATTTTATAAAGATATTCTTATGGATTATCTTTTTATATATAAATGTAGAATTTTTCATTGTCAATTTACAACGCTTTGTAATTCTACATGTTAATTTCAAAGGATTCGAAATAGTCCATATAAATATGGATCTTTATCCAGAACTTTCAAGTTTAAACGCTTGGGTAACATAAATTGTAAATATATTTTAAAAGTTAATAACATTTGTTTATATTACCATTTTTTTATTATGATAACTTAAATTTTAACAATGTATAATTTGACATTCATATTGTATATGTAAATTAAAATAATTATATCTAACTGATCTCTATCAATAAAAATTTAAATATTTATCAATTATAATTGAAAAAACAATAAATTTATCTATCAACCTTAATATATGGTATAAGTACTAAAAAATTTCTAATACAATATCGTCGAACCCGATTGGTGAGGTGTATCATTTTATATAAAAACAATTATGTTATTTTGTAATTATTTAAAATTTTAAAATAAAACCTTTTATTTATATTTTTACATATATTAAATATAAATTTGTTTATTAACTCATATTAACTATGTGTAGTTAACACAAAAAATTGAGCCTAGGCAATTGCCTAGGCTCGTCCTAGTGTAGATCCGCCATTGGCTACAGATAGAGAAAGATAATTGAGCAAGTGCGACTTACTTATGCAATAAACTATGTGACAGACAAACGAAGATAATTGAGCAAGTGCAAATTACTTATGCGAGAAAATATGCGACAGTAGACGAAGTTCATTGAGCAAGTGTGAATTAATAACTATGTGATAACTATACGACATATAGGCGAAGATAACACATAAAATGCAAAATAAATTATGGGATAAACTACGCGACAGACAGAAGAAAATAATTCAACAACTATGATATCATTATACGATATTTCTCTAAAAAAATGAGACCTTATGCGTGTGAATATATGTGTGGGGGAGGCTTGGGACTTGATGTATTAATAGGCTACAACAGAGGCCCTAAGGTTACTCTGGTTGTTCATTTAGTATTTTGTATTATTCATTTTAGATACATACATTTCTCGTCTTTGATCAGCGTATGCTCGATCAGTTCATATAAGTCGTCGTCCCTATCGTTTTCCATCAGGTTCCTCCAGTTGTTGATCTCGGCCCAACCCACGATCGTTCGCCTTATTGCTTTGGAGATTTTCATTCTTATAAACTTTGGGGATTCATGATGTTGAAAACATCCTTCACGTGTTTCTGGTACAACTTTCCTGAGAGGACGACCTATGTAGGGCTTACACAAAATGTTAATAACTGAGAAGAAACTGGAAAAATGTAAAAACATTTGTAAGAAGCTGATTTGCAACTAAAATGCGACAGACCATCGATCGAACTATTCACACAATTCTTTGCATCTTACGCACTTTCTCAATTAGCTTTGTACCTGTCGCATATGCATTGCTCTTCTGGTTGATGCATCGACCAGTCCTACCTCCAAGTCTAGTTTCAACCAGGCTATTCGAAGGCCCAAACTCAACCTGTCGGTGGTTCTTTAGATCTACGACGCTCTCATGGACCTGAGGGCTCTTTAATATCCGTTCTACCTGCGAGTAGCTCCGTTCGACCAATCGATCTGCCAGGCCTGGTAGACTGGTTTATCGGGTTTATTCGCCTCAGCATATATCCTATATCAAGTATGCTCTCACTTTTCCAAAATTTTGAACATTTTTTTTTTTTTTTTTGTATATTCTNCAACTAATTAACTTTTTTTTTTCAACTAAATTTATCAACTACTATTTTTTTTAGTAAATTAATGAACATATCCAATTTTTTTTATTTATTTTCTATTTTTGTATCTAACAACGTTAATTTAACAGGTGGGGCCCTTTGTTGCGTAGGATTCCAAGAGCTTAGGTGAGTTGAGATCGTGGAACGAACGACTGAAGTAGTGACTGTTAGATTTTGTTTTATATATTAGTATGAAATTAGATTATCATATCAACTTATTAGATGATATGATAAGTGGACTTTAGGGGTTTACTTGATAAGTTCATTTCTTTGGGTTAGATTTTTTTTTTTTTTCCAAAACGATAGAATGTATTACTCCAAATAAAGAGAGAGTACTGTACAACCCGAAGGCCAACTGGTCTTAATAGCTTTCCTACTAAAAGACTTGGTGAAACACATGAAGTGCTCTCAAACTAGAAAGTAAACTGAGAGACAAGAGTTGAGGTTTCAAGCATTTGGCAATAACAAGAGCACCGAGACCAATTAGCTTGATCCCAAACTCGTGGATCCTTCATAGAAGTATTGCTACAGACACAACAAAAAGGTGATCCACTGCACTAAGAGGCCTACCAAATCAGCCAATCCATAACAACAAATAAAGAAAGCAGCCAACAAACAACAAAACAAACTAAGGACAAACTAATCAGCAAACCAAAGGAAGCAAAACAAGATACAACAGAACTCCATCCAGCCACTCAAAGCAATGTCCACCACTGACTTTTCATCCTTCCAAGTTTCTTTAAAAAACTCATAAATTTCTAGCTTTCTACTGCCACTAGAGAATGTAGGTGGAAAGCTGGATTCTTGCCTCAGAAGTTGAGGTTTTGCCGATGCCATAGATTCTAGACCACCACTCCTTGAAGTTGTCAGTCTCCCCTAAGAGTCCCTCCCATGAGACCGATGCTAACCTCCAAATTCTATGTGCGCCAGGTCAGGAGAAGAACAAGTATTCTATTGTCTCAGGCCTCGCCCTACAGCTTCTGTACCTACAGTCTACATCCACTCCTTTTGGGTCAGATTCATTCGCTCTTTTATATACGAGTTTTACCTTTATTTTACAAAATACTTCACCCTTACACATTTTTTATTTGATTCTTATGATTCATTAAAAAGGAAAAAGAAATATTTCAATATATTTTCATAATTTGCACGAAATAGGCATACATGAATTTACGTTTTCAAAGTTTATATATTACTAAAAGGCTATAACACATTTTATGTTTTTAAAGTTTTAGCAGTCACTAGTACGAATCCCGTGCGATGCACGGGTAAGAGATATTCATTAGTATTTATAAATTAAAAATAATTATTAGATGATATTTATAAATTAAAAATATTGAATCAATATGTAATACATTTACCTATATTAATTTATTGAAAATGTTATATGAAGTTATATCGTGCAAAATTACATAAAACATGCCAATTTAATTAGTATACAACTTGTATGGTGCACGTAACTAATAATAAATTACATTATATTTATTTCAAAATAAGTGTCATTTTAAAATTATTATTCAGAAATTCGATTGGACTACAATGTGATTCCATAAAATAATTCTTTTCGTAAAATTTTATCATATATTTAAAAATTTATGTGAATAATAAGTACAATTATAAAACTTATAGTGTTCAATAATTAAAATAAATTTGATTTTGTATAAACTATCAAAATAAAAAAATTTAAGTTGTTGAGTAATTTATTAACTATAATTAATTGACTACTTCATTTATGCCTAAGTTAATATTGACACATAAGTTATGAATAATTATTTATTTTTGAGTTTTAAATTTGAAACCCAAATTTGAACTATATGATAAATTTCCTTATATATATATATATATATATATATATATATATATTCTTATATATAAATTCCCTTATATACATATTATCTCACAATTTTTTAGAGTTGTTGTCCCTTAATTTTTAAATTTTA